ATTTTTTAATTGCAAATGTTCAGTGAGTAGAGGAATGAGTCATGCTTCATTGGCATCAAACCCAGAATTCAGAATTTGATTAACTTCAATTCTCTCTAGCAGTGGGAAGATAGACTTTCACAGTATCATTACTCTTGCCTCTACCTTTCTGCTCTGATTGTGGAGGGAAACATACAGTACAGTTTTAAAAGATGAAGATGGAATCAAAAATTCATATCTCTATTTGATATTAACGATTACATAACCAATAGAAATACTGAGGGTCTTATTTGATTATATGGCCCTTCTTGTTAACATCAACTAATGTTTCTGAGATGTTAACTGCCGGGGTTTTTTTTCTGTCAACCTGTTGACTTACCCAGCAAACAAAACTAGAACTTCTTCTTCAACTTGTATACATGCGGGGCTGTGGACGAACGACACGCCGAGACAGGTTCAATGTGGAAGATAGAGCATCAATCAACGTGTGTCTTTATTGGTCCAGGGTACATATATTTATACAGACAATGATAATTATTATGCCTACTAGTCACTAGCTGATTGGCTTAAGCTCTAAAGGTCGTATTCGCACGGTCCACCTACTTGCAGTTAGCTTACAGCCCAAGCTTCTCATAACACTAAGTTTCTCATGCTACTATTTCTGATTCCTGTTGACTTGTTTTCGATACACGACAGTACCGTAACACAATGTTTCTCAGACCACCGTTATCATAACACTGGGTTTCTCAGACCACAATTCCTAATTCCCCTTAACCTGTTTTCGACACACCACGGTACACAGGGCTGAAGCGTCCTTGACATTCCTCCTGTATCAGCAGCTGTGAGCAGCTGCAGGCAAACCCTAGTGAGGCTCAGCATCAGCAGCTAGAGCAGGCTCTGATCATACAATTGCTCGGTGGGCTCAGGACCCTTGTCTCTGAGCCATTCTCCAACAATTCCCCCTTTTTCTTTTTGTATGAGCAGAGCCTGCGCTAACGTTCGTTCAAAGATTTTCTTAATACATGACAAGGCACAACTCAGGCATGCAGGCTTACAATCTACTGGCTAAAGGCACAGGACCCTTGTCTCTGAGCCATTCTCCAACATATACAGTTTGGTATACATGAGCCAGAAATGTGCTCTTGCCACAAAGAAAGCTAACAGTATCTTGGGCTGCATTAGGAGGAGTGTTGCCAGCACATCGAGGATGGTGATCCTTCCCCTCTACTCAGCACTGGTGTGGCCACACCTGGAGCGCTGGGTCCAGTTCTGGGCTCCCAGTACAGGAGAGACTTGAACCGGCTGAATAGACTCCAGTGAAGTGTCACAATGATGAGGGGACTGGAGGATCCCTCCTATGAGGAAAGGCTGAGAGTTCTGAGACATTCTAACCTGGAGATGAGAAGGCTCATTCATTATATACTCATCAGTGAGTATAATCTCTACACCTGAAGGGTTTAGAGAAGATAGAGCCGGGCTCTTTTCAGTGGTGCCCAGTGACAGGACCAGAGGCAATGGGCACAAACTGAAACACAGAACATCCCCTCTGAAAATCAGGAAACACTATTTTACTGTGAAGGTGACTGAGCACTGGCACAGGTTGCCCAGGGTGGCTGCTGAGTCTTCCACCTACCTTGGAGATATTCAAAAGCCATCTGGGCACGGTCCCAGGCAACTGGTTCTCGGTGATCCTGTTTGAGCAGGGGGATTGGACCAAATGACCTACAGAGATCCAATCCAACCTCAATCATTCTGTGATTCTCTGAAATTTGCTGCTTCCTCAGATATGATGATGAGACTGAGTGCTAAAGCTCAGCTACTTTTTTTTTTCTCTTATTTTTTCTGTTATTTTGCCCAGTAAAATTATTTTCGTAGCTTCTGTATAAATTCCCCTTTTCCTCAGAATATTATGACTAAACCAGTATTATTTCCAAGAAAACCTTCAGTTCTTGTAAGACAAAGCATTTCAAGGCAAAAGATAGATAGATAGATAGATAGATAGATAGATAGATAGATAGATAGATAGATAGATAGATAGATAGATAGATAGATAGATAGATAGATAGATAGATAGATATTTTTTTTTTTTAACTGGCAGAAATATTTTGGCTACCCATGTTAAACCATTAAAGGATTTGACAAGGAAAGAGATATCTCCCAGTATCTCATGATATTTTGAAATAGGTCAATTTCTGTGGAAAGATGTATATGAGAGGAATAAGAATGCTGTGTGAAACTGTGAATGGCTTAAAAAAACCTTTCTTTAAAAAAAGAAAGTAAAAGATAGGGAGTTTGGAAGAGGCAATTCATGTAACTCTACCTGTTGCATTGAAGTTATAAGAAGTTCTGTACTGTCTAGGAAGGCAGTATGGTTTCAGAAACAAAAGAATGTTAAAATGTGTTCAAAACAAAGCCCTTTTTCTCCTGCATGGAGACTTTTTCTTCACTCACCTTGCATTTTGTTCAACCAAATCACTTGTCTGGGTACAGAAAAGCGGCACATCAGAATTTGGCGGTGTTTTCATTGTCTCCTTCAGACATTAAATTCCCACCAGCAAATAAAATAAAATTCTATTGTTCAATTTGTGCTGACAGTATTCCTAAGGGTCTGAATGATCTTGCATAAAAATTGTTCTGTCAATATATTAAAAAAATAGATTTAATGTACTGATCAACAAGAGAACCCATAAAGTCATCTTTATAGATGGTTAGATATGAGTCCCCAGTTGTCTATAGTTATATTTTGAACAAAAATTACTGTGAAAGTTATGTAGCTTTAGAAGGAATGGAAGTTTTTTGGATCTATTATCAAATCTAACAGCATTGCAGGATCTTTCAGTAATCATCACAGTGGTATCTGTGTTTTTCAGCCCTTCTCTTTCCCTTCAAGCAAAATATAGAGAAATAAATGGGCTGTTGCAAAGGTCTGAAATTCATGGCTAAAATTAAAATTATAAGGGATTAGGAACCCAGTGGCAAGGCAAATGTTGCACCTGTGTCCAAAAAAAAAGGCTAGAAAATCAACCTGGGTAACTACAGGTCTGGCAGGCTCACTTCAGCCCATGGGAAGAACCATGAAGTGTGTCCTCTTAAAACATATTTGTGGGCATGTATAGGAGAAGATAGTAACTGGGAAGAGGCAGTGTGGATTTACCAAGGGTAAATCATGCCTTACTAATCTGATAGCCAGCTATGATTTGAGATGAGGAGAGAGCAGTGGATGTTGTTTGGTACTCAAGTTTAGCGAGACTTTTGACGTTGTCTCCCATATGCAGGTTGGGACATTATCATCTAGGTGGGTGGATGTCTAGATGATGAAAAGCTGGTCGGCTAGTCAGACCCAGAAGGTCATGGTTAATAGGTCACAGTCTACCTGGATGTCAGTAGCAAATGTAGAACTGCTGGGGTCTGTACTGGGACCTCTCTTGGTTAGTATCGTTATCAGGAACCGGGAGGAGGTAATGGAGCATGCACTCACCAACTGTGCAGCTATCAAATTGGAAAGGATCGGTTGCTATGGTTTCTGTAGTCAGGCTACCTTCCAGACACTTGAACAAGCTGGAGAAGTGGGCTGACAGGGACATTGTGAAAATTAATAAAGACAAGTGCCAGGTGCTGGCCCTGAGACAGAGGAGCCCCTGCAATGGCACAGACATGGGAGCAGCCCTGTGGGAAGGGCCCTGGGACATGGTGCCTCAGCCAGCAAAGATGGCCAACAGCTTCCATGGGCTGCACGAACAGGACCATGGCCAGACAATACAGGGAGTGATTGTCCCCCTCTGTTCAGTACTTGTTAGACTGTATGTAGAGTACCGCATCCAGTTTGGCCCACCTATTGCAGCAAATATATTGACAAGCTGGAGTGAGTTTTGTAAAAGGTGGTCAAGGTAGACCCCATAGCAGCCTTCAGTTCTGGTCTCAGGTTTGTCATCAGCACCTACACATTCCACTTCATGGTTTGTCATTGGATTGTCAATGACTTTCAGTACTCATCTGCTCTCAATCTTTTTTGCAATGTCTTTGCCCCAGCATGTTCCAATTTTTATGGTACCATATAAAATCTCTGTCTCTTAAAAACATTCTTTCCAGCATATGAAAAGGAATGCTAGAGCTGTACAAAGGGAACATAAGAATTAGAAAACAAAACAAAAAAACCCACCCGCATTCAGTCCATTTTTTCCCTAGTCATAGATGGCCAAACTCGCATGGATGACATTTTTAAGAAATTAATTCTGCCTGAGGCAGATGTCCTGCCTGGAAAAGCTAACTATAGACAGATAAAGTTTGCCCAGATTTCCTAGAAACTGAGAAAAGATTTTACAATGTGAAGTGTTAAGCAGTTTAATATAGTCTGTGCTACAAGCTTTGGTTATAATAACATATTTTTCTTCCATTTGTGTTAATTGTAGTTATCTACTTGCATCAAAGGAAAATGAAAATAAATTGAAGTGGTTATGCTGTAAATTTGCTACAAGAGTATTTTTTTGTTGATAAGCTTTTCTAATATTTTGAAAATAAAATAAAATAAAATCATGAGTTCTTATAAGGATGACAATTACACTTTAAAGACAGATGAGGATCTATCCTTATAAATGTAGTGATACTAAATGGCATGATAATTGACTTCCCTTAACTAATAAGACACTGCTGTTCCTACATTTGGCTATGTATTCGATGTAGATTCTGAAACTAATCAAAGTTGTACAAATATAGAAATTGAAAAATATGTTATAAAATAACCACAAGACTGCTTTGGTTATTGCAATAACTATGTTTCCAAGTAGTACTTTATTAGAGAAACAGACTGTTCACTTTTTGATACATTACATTGTATATAAAGCTTTGCAAATTTAGACCCTACCTATTTATGTGGTTTTGTCGATTAAAAAACTTATAAATGTAAATATACTTTCGGGGGGAGGGGGGAAGAAATAGATTATAGTAAAAATCGAGTAGTTCTAGTTAATATTTTTGCTTGGACTATTTATACACTGGCCTAAAATACTTTTCTTCATTTTAAGGTAACTGAGCTGCACAATATCAAAAACATAACTAGATTGCCTCGAGAGACAAAGAAGCATGCAGTGGCAATTATCTTTCATGATGAGACGTCAAAGACATTTGCGTGTGAGTCAGGTAAGAAATCGGTACTGGATCTCTAGCTTGAAGAAATCAAGTTAAAAGACAAAGTCTTGCTCAGGTGAATTAACTTAAAATGCCAGATAGAAATCCTTAGATTAAAGAAATTTGTTGTAAACAAGAACTTTGGAGTTTGAGGTTTAGGTTTTTTGACTTTTGATAGGGTGTTTTTTAATATACTTTGGGAGGTGTTGTGGGTGTTACAAAGCTCTTTATTCCGTTACTTGTCTTTGGCGAAATACAAATGGTCTGAAGACTGGAGATTTTCAGCTAAATTTGTAAAACTGAGTAAAAATTACCTATGGGATGTTATTAAGTCAAGATGTGAAGCATGCTTTTTTTTTACCAAGTTTTGCTATAGGCACTTACTTCTTACAAAACTAATAATTATCATGCCATTGCAAAGAAGAGGTAAATACCAGCTAAAACCTCGGGATATTGTAAAGCTGGATGTCAAGCAGTCTGCAGTTTGAACAGCTACATGGTATAATGAATGAATTAAGCTGAGAACAGACTTGGGCATCATGGTATATAATGACAGGTAGTTACTTGTGAGACAGAACACTGCGCTATTAAAATGCTGTGTTTTATTGTTTGAAAATGCAATTGTACACGTCTATGTCCTATTCTACCTGAAAAAAAGGTTTGTAAAAGAATAAGAATTTTTTAATAATAGAATTTCTATTTGTTTAGTGATGTATTTGAAATTGTGCATTTTAAAATTATATCTTAATATTATCATATAAACACTGCATGGTGTACAATCTAAATTAAATACAGTGAAACAAAATTCAAGAAACGTGGAAGAGGTAGGTTAAAAGTGTGTAAGGTCATTAATTACACAGGTGTTTGGATCAAGTACTGCAAACATTGTTATGTGCATCACATCACAAAAGATGGGTTGACAGAGTTTTATTTGTTCATTAATTTAAATTTAAAAACACAAACATAGAAAATCTGTCTTTCTAGGATCAGTTTAACAAATTGTAAGTAGTACACACTAAAGACTTTAATTTCTAATGTGTAGAATTAATAATGACTCTATATCATTAATAATAATTGAATAAAACAACTTTAATTGTATTTCCACAGCACTTAAATCAGGTCTATGTAAACTTTTCTGTTTGCCTACACATGCATTCCCCTTGTTCTCTAATGAAAGATCTTATTCCTTCCCTAGAATTACTATGGTGCAGGTATATTTGAAAAGAGTGACAGCAAGTCATAACTTCAGGATTCTTTCACTAAAGAAGGGGAAAACCTAAGGAAGTTCAGCATGTCTGGCCCATTCATCCCTTTCTTCTGTAACAAACATGATGCAACTCCTTAACCTTGAACCCAGTTGTGTATATGAGACCAAACACCTTAAGGTGCTAACAAGATGCCAGTACAAGAGGGCTATGCTATATGCAAAGGTGTGTTTTGTGTGGATGGAGCCTTCAGTGAAGTGACAAACCAGTAGAGAGCTTGTGGGCAGAGATCAAAGGACAAACCAATACTGGTGATACTGTAGTAGTTGTCTGCTGTAGACCTCATCAACAAGAGAAGGCAGAAGCAGCATTCTTAAGGCAAGTAGAAAAAACCTCACAGTCCCAGGTGTTGGTACTCTTGGGTGACTTTAACCATAACAATATCTACTGGAAGGCCAGTATGTCTGGTCACAAGCAATCCAGATTTCTGGAACAAGTTGAAGACAATTTCTTGATATAGATGATCAATAATGACATGAGGGGAGTTGCTCGGTTCAGGAACATGCTTGACAGGATCCTGTGGCAAATTGACTTCTGATTCAGCTCAAACACAAAAAGGGAAACATACAGAAGCAGGGACAGACGATGTGGGAGGGTTAGAGAGTCATTATCCATGTATATAGGAATGGAGCCAGGAAAGCTCCACCTCAGTTGGAGCTGAAACTAGCCAGGGACATGAAGGACAAGAAAGGTTTCTTAAAGTACATCAACAGCAAAAGGAAGACTGAGCAAGTGTGGTCTCATTGCTTAGTGAGACAGTGAACCTAGTGACGGGCATGAGAAAGGTACCTAATGACTTCTTTATACCTTGGTTTTCACTCTCAAGCCTTGTCCTCCTTCCAGGTCTCTGAGCCTCTTTGCAGTCGGTGGAAGTGAGGTAGTACCCACAGCAGAGCAAGGCAGAGTCAGGCATCACTTAAATCACTCAGATATCATACACAAGTTTGTAGAACTAGATCATGAAGAATGACAAGGAGGATCCCAATAACTATAGGCCAGTCAGCCTCACCTCAGTCCCTGAAAACATTGTTGGAGGAAATCATGTGTAAACATGAAAGACAACAAGGTGAATGGGAGTAGCTAAAACATTTTCCATATGCAAATTATGCTTTCTTTGATGAGGTGTCTGGTATTGTGGGCAAGGGAAAAACAGTGGCTGTCATATACCTTGATTTTAATGGCCTTTGACAGCCTCCCATTAGCCTCCTCCACAGCCCCCAAATTGGTGGGACATGGGATTCATAATGGCCCTATAAAGTAGGTAGAAATTAGACTCGGCTTAAAGAGTTGTCATTAATGGTGCAAAGCCAAGCTCGTAGCCAGTAAGTAGTGGGTCCCTCAGGAATCAGTGCTGTGACCAATACTGTTCAATGCTTCATTTGCAACTCGGATGATGAGATGGAGAGTATTCTCAGCAAGTTTGCAGGTGGCACCTGTTTTAGCTACTCCCATTCACCTTGTTGTCTTTCATGTTTACACATGATTTCCTCCAACAATGTTTTCAGGGACTGAGGTGAGGCTGACTGGCCTATAGTTATTGGGATCCTCCTTGTCATTCTTCATGATCTAGTTCTACAAACTTGTGTATGATATCTGAGTGATTTAAGTGATGCCTGACTCTGCCTTGCTCTGCTGTGGGTACTACCTGCTGTCAGAGGGACCTGGACAGGCTGGAGAAATGGGCTGACAGAAACCTTAAGAAGTTCAGCAAGAGCAAATGAAAGGTTTTGCCCCTGGGATGGAGTAATCCCAGGCAAAAAGGCAGGCTGGGGGGCCAACTATCTGAGAAGCAGCTCTGCAAAAAGGCCCTGGTGTCCTAGTAGACAGCAAGCTGAATATATCCTGGAATGCATTAGTAAGAATTTTGGCAGCACATATAGGGAAGCAATCCTTCCCTTTTATTCAGCACCTATAAAACCACATCTGGAGTATAGTGTCCAGTTTTGTGCTCTCAGCCTAAGAACATTGACATACAGGAGTGAACCCAGCAGAGGACCACCAAGTGTCAGTGTCAGCAGCACATGGTATATGAAGAGAGACTGAGAGCTGGGCCTGTTCAGCCTGGAGAAGAAACAACTTCAGAGGATCTTATTGCTCCCTACAGCTACCTCATCTGAGAATACAGAGCAGATGGAGTTATAGAGGTGTCAGATTTCTTGCTGTTTCTGAAATACTACAAATCTTAGCTGTGGGTATAGTGCAGTTTCAATCAGTTTGCCTTTCTCCATACCTTCAATCTATGTAAACAGTAGAAACTGCATCATCTCCATCAGATGAGACAGATACACTGCTTTGTTTCATTAAAATCTGACTCTCTTGAACCTCAAATCTTCTGTGTGTTCTGAACTAGGAAGATATGGTCTAAAAACAATTTATTTCGCAGCTCGTTTTCACAACTGAGTTCTGTCTTCCCACAAGGAACTATTACCATTTTTACTGCTGCTGAAATGTGCCAAGTACTTTGCTTTCCTTTATGAAACTTATTGAAGTTAAGGAATATTTAGAGTTCTGCTTGTTATTTGAAATGTTTTCTTCTCAGATCTCTTAAAAACTGTGTAGTGGCAGTGGTTTCTATGGGACAGTGCCTAGACTTTCAACAGCCTCATGGTGTATAGTGGTCTACACACAATGGGATTTTATGTTTTTTGGCAATATTTTGGAAAATCAGGCCACTTCTTTGGTTAACACAGTAATTTCCCTTACTGCAATGGAGTCTCTAAATATACAGAAGCAGATACTTTGTTTCCTATCATCTTGACCTCCAGACGCAGATGGAAGGACAGTAACACTGAACCCATTGCAAAAGGACTGGTGAGCACAGAGTCAATAATTTCTTGGAAAGGAGGAGGAAGTAATGCTCAAATCTGAGTTGTTTTTATGTGGGGACTGAACAATATGAGGTAGGGATTTTGTCAGAGTTGTACCAGGAAATGTTTTAAAATAACTGTATTATTTTTCTTTTGACAGTATGAGCTGATATCTTTTTCTCTGTGCAGTCTAAAAGTCTATGTGATGAGAAGCAGCGCATTTTTCTGGGATTTAGATTTTTTAATTATGTAATTAAGCACAGTTAAATGGTATACTGTTTTAAAATAGGTCTCTAAACACACAGAACACTTCAGACCTTCCCAAAAAGCCTGAGACTTGTGATGCCAGCCCACTGGTTCTGCTGACTGGGAGCTTATGTTTTTTTCCTAAGCTCCTGAGGCTTCTAGGCCCTCAGCTTGCTTATTGTCTTCAAGGCAGCTACTGGCAAGTCTGTGCTATGGATGGGCTGTAGCCCTGATATTCCCGTTAGGATTTCAACAAAATAGTTATCTGAGGAGCATATAATTTCTGGTAATCTTCATTTGCTGGTGAAAACATTCTGTAGAAAAAGAAATAAAATCCTCCATATGTCTTTGTTATCATCTAGCTGTTCTCATCACCACCACCAGTGCTCCCAGTGTCTACAACAGCTGTAGAAATCTGTTTAATTCTGAAACTCTATCGGAATAGTTTGAAGAGCAAACCAGTCTCAGATATTACAGTTCCCTGGTTAAAACCATGGGCTAGTAAGTCTTTAAAGAAGAATTATCCCTCTTCAGGGAGAGAAGGAAGCTGCTTGCTGTCACTATATCACTTTCTGACATCTGTTCTAGGGGGCAGAGACTTGTGACTTGGGCGATTAGCAAGCAACATTTTTAAATTGTCTGTTACCATCAGAATTGTTTCAGTGGAAGTAAACTAATGAGAAGTCACAGCTGA